TGCGCATTCCATGAAAGGTCACTATCGAATTCAATACCTAGATATTTCACATGGTCCACATAACCCACTGGAGTGCATTTACACGAGGGACAAGTTGATGAATGTAAAAATAGTGGCGTATCTGGGATAACAACTTTTAACGGATTCCGGAAACACACCAGACGTGTCTTTGTGTTGTTAATTTTGAAGTCATTTTGCTGAAACCATTCAATCAATTGTGTGGTTTCACGTTGGAGAAGAAAAATCGATTTTTCGTATTCTATATGGCGTGACAAGAGTACAGAGGCCAGATTCACTAAGAATGTCTTATCTTAAGACATTTTTTCTAAGAAGTTCGTAACTCAAGAAGTTCTTAAGATGTGCCGAAATCGGCATTCTCGAAGGGGTTCTTACGAATTACTTACGAACGAACTGGCTACGACAAAATTAAGTGAAGGAAAGAGAGAAACTTCCGGTATCTCGCGATGCTCGCAAACAACGAGAGCTGCGAGAGCGAAGCGTTGCCCTGACGACGACAGGAGACGCCTTGCCCGCCCCACGTGTAGTTGCCTCATCGACGGCAGTAGTGCGGACCGTGGTCTACGCGAACGATGGCGACAGAGAGCAAAAAGCAGCGAAGGCCTAACTTTACGGAGGCTGAATTGGAAACACTAGTCGACGGTTACGAGGCACGTAGGACCGCGATAGACGCGAAGGGCGATGGCCCGCATGGCTCCGCCGCCAAGCAGCGGGCCTGGCTACAAATCACTAAGGATTTATATGCCGTTTCCGGCGTAAGACGAGACGTGGCCGAGGTGAAGAAGAAATGGGCCGATTACAAGAGCATTCACAAAAAGCGAGGTAAGGCACCCTTTCAGCTTTCTTACAGTTCGCGAAATACGCGAAATAAGTTGCGATAGGACGCAGCAGAAACCGACTATCTCTAACAGTGTCGCGCTGTGTGTATAAGGCCCGAAACGTTTGGCGTGAATGCAGATTCGACGACCGAGCGCATTTTATTACTTAGCTTAGTGCTGCCAGATACTGCAAAAGTCTGTTGGCTTCTTTCAACAACAAAGGACATCAATAGCCCAAGCGTGTAATGAGGTAGATCGGCAATTAAGTTCGCTCATACCTAGTGCCAAACACGAAAAATGATCGCATAGCTCGAAAATATCCTTCGTACATTCAACCAACTAGCCCAAGCTTCAGTCTTAGCAACCTTCATACCCACAGACATCGATCGCACAAACAGTAGGGTGGTAGACTTCGCTGCGCGAACGTAATTCGAAAATTAGTGATATTGCTTGGATTAGCTTTGCAGTAAAATCTGTTGGAAGTTATGGCCAATCGTTGTCATTAAAGTCGTCTCGTGCTTGTCCTTTTTGTGTCTAGGGTTTGAGAATGTTTAACAGTAACCAGCTCGACTGCCTAATCACATTTCCTAAAAAAAAACAGGTTGTATGCTTTTTTTTACGCAATTGTTTGTATTATTTAATTAGTTCTTAGTACGAACCAACTAACCTAACGAAGAGTCGTGATGTAACTGATAATTCGCGCAAACTGCACCCCACTTTGACCCGTTACTTGATACTGACATGATGCACAGGTGCATCCTTGAAGCGCAGCCAGGGAACCACCGGAGGCGGCGTTGGTGACAAGCCTCTCAATGATGTGGAGGAGAGAATGGTGGGGCTCCTGAGCGTGGAGGCAATGGCCGGCATCCCTGGCGCCTTCGATATTGGGGTTGCGGTCGAGGTGCCAATGGACGAGCCCTTCAGCCTGCCGTTCTTGGGTAGGTTTACACTTGGATGAACAAACTGCTTGCATCCCCTCATTAATGGGCGTCATGTGTTGTCACAATTGGTTGCCAAAACGTTCCACAATTGTTATGAGGTTCTGCACATGCAGTAGTTGCATTTCATATGGTCGTGTTTCCCTACTCCAACAACCGGTTTAAATTCCAATCTTCCCAGGCACTCCCGCAACATCACAGGCAGCAAGGCCGGGCTCAGTCGAGCTAGTTCCCTCCATTGGTGAGCTTATCAACTTCAAAATTTAAGTGTAGCATGACTGATCATTTTGCTCTGTATTTAAATGATCTAGACAATGGGACCTAATTATTCCGTTAAACAGGACATGACTGTTCTACATTTCTACGAAAGATTATGTTTGTATCAGAACAATGTATTTTCTTTTTGCAAGATACGACTCCAGGACTTTGCAGGCCTGCTTCATCAAGACCGCCACGTGCAAGGTTTGCTGCATATAACTTTTCGATTGCTTCTATAATGGTAGCACCTGTATCATTGGAGGAAATTGCATTTGGCGTCCAGAATAGACCTACATTTCAAAGTAGAAACTGTTATTTAACTCTTTTTGTTCGAACAGCGTTAGAATGGAGAGAGTTTGATCATGATCTGTTTGCACCTGCATTTTGACCGAACAAGTTTTCTGAAACCCCCTCTCTGTAATAATGCCTTCAGGACACTGCAGGTAATCATCGGTAAATAAATACATAACATTGCCCATAGTGGTTATAATTTGAACACCTAATGTTTTTTTTGTTTGTTTTTTTGTCTTTCAGCTTATTTGGCGTTCAACGCGTACACCCACAGGAAGACGCAGGTGGGTGGTTTTGGTTCTTTGGGTTGAGCAATCAAGCTTGCTCATCACAACTTGTTGTAGTCTATCGGTCATATGTTAGCCAGCAGTTTACAAGGCAGTGTACTAAGCTCTATTCGTTTTTCTATTCAGAAAACCACGATGCCAGCGGATGTCTGCTGCAAGACGACGATGGGGCTTCGCTCCGCACTTCAAGGAGTCACAAACCCAACCAAAGGCGTTAGTATCATTCTACTAGATGTGGATTGCAACACCAACCTCACATTGAATCCAGAGCCACACTGCATCAAATATCCAGCAGTGTGATAAAACTAGTCTGCAAATATCAAAACAAGGCAATCTGCCCAGTAACATCTACCGTAGAAAAGACCACTCCTCCCGTCGGCTTTTTTTCACTTGTTCCACGTTTTCTGGGTGCCGTGCATTTCTCTCCGAAAAAAAGTATGACATTTTTTTGCTGGCTAAAACTGATTAAATACCAATATGCCTTTCGTTAAATCACCTAAGCTCCAAGAAACATGATGTGTGTTGTTGCACGCACTGCACATGGTAGTGCGTGCAGCAGCAACTGTTCCATAATAGATACTTACTTTACAAATGACACCTTGCACATGCTTTTGCCTACTTTATTTTGATTATAATGCAATTAAATGCAAAGGTGCAAGCGACCCGGACCAGGCGGATTTTTTCAGTCGCGCACCAGTCACCTAGCTGTGTTTGGAGATTTCTGTTTGTCCTTTGTCCCTCTTGTTCCCCTTCTCCAGGGATTACTTTCGGCTTTATTTTGATCATTTACTTCCCTAATTTTCTATAAGATAAGGCGAGTGAATGTACCTACTTCTTGGTGTTCGGGTAATTTAGCAAAAGGTCCCTTGTCTCGTTAACAACTTGTTTTTATCATTCATGCACGCTTCCTATGCCCAACCTGGACATGTATTCTTCACGCGAGTTTCACAACAGTATCATGGAAACATGATCACAAAATGGTTTTCCAATTCTCAATAAGGCAAGCAACCATTTTCCTCTATGTGCAGGTGACATGGAGGACCCTAGCCACAAGATTATCGAATCTCAGCAAGCCATTGTTGACCGCCTGGACCAGATTATAGAACTGCAGAAGCAGAGGGTGGCACTTGAAGCCTACAAGCTCAACGTGCAGTTTGTAGATGGCAAAATTGTCCCTCTGTAATAATAAGAAGACACTCGAGTACAATAACAAAACATTGTTTCTTTAATACACACAAGGCTTTTCTTTTACCTGCACCCATTGATGCCTAAGGTTTAGACGGAAGAGCTCCAACCGAAATCCAAAAAATGGTTCAGCCCGACCTTTCAAAACCTGCTCAGCTTCTTCATCAGGAGTGACTAAACGTGAGGAGCAGCAGCAGTTTTCATCTTCTTAGTTGTTTTTGACTCGAATTTTCTTCTTCTATTATACAGATGGTTTCTCGTTTGTTGCCGTCATCAGGTAGCAGAATCCATGGAGATGGACTGCGCCACTGAAGAAAACTCGAGTCGAAAACAACTAAGAAGATGAAAACTGCTGCTGCTCCTCGCGATTTAGTCACCCCTGATGAAGAAACCGAGCAGGTTTTGAAACGTTGGGCTGAACTGTTTTTGCATTATGGTTGGAGCTCTTCTGTCGAAAATGTTCTCAATCAAGCCAATGATGCTTTGTAGCATGCTATCACAAACTCACTTAAAAACGGTGTTGACAAGCTCATTTCTGACTGCGGTGCCAGAGGGTGTGTCTTGGGCGGTGCTCGGCCTGTCCTCTTCTTCCTCTTCCTCATCGTCGGATTCCTCAACTGTTCAGAACACCATATTTAGCACAGCACAAAGGGACATCAACAAGGCTTGCAAGAACAGTTACAACATTGCAATAACTCAATAAGCTGCTGGAAGCACTTTCCAAGGAACGTGTTTACAAACTATAGGGTTCACACATCATTCTACAGGCTCAAACTGAAATATGTAAATTGAACTGTAAGAAGATAACAATATGCAAAGGTTACGGTAAATGGTGCCACCGTACTGCAACATCCTGGAAATGCCCAGACTTGAGTCACTAAATAAGCTACGCTCAGAGTAACCAAACTTTCTCTTCAGACTGTGTTGTGGGGGTACAGTTGGCAATCATTATAATTTTTAAATGTGGCTTCCTGAGCGGTGGCAGGAAGTTCAGGCGACACTGTTTCGCTCTGTTGCGGATTCTTTGAATATTTCTGGAGGATGGAAATCCATTTTTTTTTGGCTTTTCAGACATTAGTCGCCCTCTACCATCACGTCACTAGCGGAGGGGAATGGTACCTCTCGTAGAGCAGATGTGAAATGAGCCCAGAGTCGCACCAAACAAGGCTGTTGCTAGCCTCAATCATTTGTGGCATTTTAGTTCATCAGAGCACGAAACCTTTAGCAAATATGTCTTTCTTACCGGGTGGTTCTGCAAGGGAGATGTGGTGGCGAGTGCAGTAGTTGTGCAGGACTGCGCAGGCTACGATCAAGCGGCAGCACACACCAGGAGAGTATTGCAGGACACCCCCGGACCTGTCCAGGCACCTAAAGCGGGACTTCATTATGCCAAAAGTTCTCTCGATTACTTGTCTCGTCTTCGTCAGGCAGTCATTGTAGTTCTCCTCCTCCTTCTTTTGGGGCTTGCGGAAGGGTGTCATGAGCCATGGCTGGAGGGGGTAACCTGCATCTCCTACAATGTTGCAAATAACACAAGATTTAATGTCAGAATGTGCATAAGTAACGCACTCATCACAAGGTTGAACCTGAATTAAACTAACTCACCCTTTCCGCCTCATACCTACATTGGCACAACTCCCACCAATATTTTCTTTTTTAACAACCAAGTCAGCTATTTTAGGCATAACGCAACAAAGCACTCGAGCAATGCTTGGGTTGAGAGCCAAAGGGTCGGCAAATTTAGCTCCCACTATCTGGTAGCTCCGACATGAACAGGCGTAGTATTGGTGTGCTTTCATAGATAACTACTTTGAGATCTACAGTAAACTCCCAAGAAGGTAGACACGCAGCACTTGCCAAACTTCACTCAGCACAACACATATTGACCGCGAAAAAATTGGTAAGATGCTTAAAGGGCCCGTAAAACAAATTTTGGGCTGGGATAAACGAATTTGGATTGGGATTTTACTAAGAACATTGTTTAGTTGGCCAAAAGAAAGAAGGCAGAAAGTCAAAAACCTAACTGCAAGTACAAAAATTTGAAAACACAGCAGACTATGTCCTACCTCCTTCCCTTTGAAAGCTCTCTGCCTTTTCACTGTGATACATCCGCGGCTCCCAAAGCGCGTCACCCGGCCAAAACGCACGTCACACTACACCGGACCACACTTATACCCGATACCCTTCAGCTGACAGTGTGGTGGAAGCTATGCAATTGCCGGACCAACCAGTTGCCTCCCTTTCATCACTAGTCAAAGTGTGGCTGGCCCAAAGAGCACGTAGCTTCCACAGCATTGTCAGCTTCGGGGTGAACGGGGTGGGGAAAGGAACTTTTGTCAGAGTTTTGAGCGACAGGTTAATCTTCTAGGAGTAGAATGGCAGTGTCGGGTACACAAACGAGGGTCCAAGCAAGAGTTGAGAAGGTAAGCTAAACAGGAAAAAGTTTAAAAATTGTTTCTTGACCCCTTTAAGCTTAACCGAAATCTGTATTTCACAAAACATGGCGGCAGACGCGTGCAACGGGATGCTACGAACACCAAAACATCACTCGTGCAGCGATATCTCGAACGGATGACCGTATTTTTCTAAAAACGGAGGCACATTTGACAGGTATGTTGACATCTTGTTTAGTCGAGGAGAGGAAATGGCCTTGCGTCTTCTCTGCCTCGCCGCCTTGAAGCGAAGAGAGGAGGAAACTAGATATGTTCACGTCGCGCGCCTTGTTCAATCTCGACTTCTTTTTCAAAAATACAGTCGTCCATTCAAGATATTGCCTTGAGAGTGGTGTTGTATAGATTGTAGCGTCCCACCTACCGCTCCTGCATTGTTTTCTGAAATCCAAATTTTGGTTCACCAACCCTTTAAGAGTGGCACGTGGCAGTTATTTTTTTTTTGTGCCCTATGTTTATTGTGGCCTCTGAGACTCCCGCAGAATCTAGGAGGCTATACCATATAAGCCCCGGCTCGTTCCCAAGGCATGCAAGCGGGCTTGCGTGGCCTAGTCGGTAGCATGCCGGGCTCGCAACCAAATGGTCGTGTTGGCAAAACAAGCTTCATGACACAGTTCAAGGTGTGCAAATCGCTGGAATCCCACGATTATTTCACGAGCGCCTCTAAAAGCAGCGATTGAAAGTTCTTAGTAGCCAAATTTTTTGGTTACTAAAAATTTGACTACTTCTTAGTAGCCAAATTTACCAGCACCAAAGTGCTGGTAAATGATGTAGGGCTACCATGTCTGATTCGCTGACTGTTGCCAAGCTGTTAAATTATTGGTACAATGAAGCAAAGGGCAACCATGTCATGAACGTGGAAAGCCGATGCAAAGGCTTGCATGAACATAACCACATTAGAAATGTGCTGTCACACACTGGAAATGAAATGCATCCAAACTAAATAATTGACACTGTATAATCAATTTTCAGTCTTTTTGAGCTTTCTCTGCCACCCATACCTTTTCTTTCTCGACAGCTGCTCTGTTACAAGTATGCCGATGAAACGATTACCGGCATATGTTAGAAACTGCCGTCTCTTTGTTCCTTGAGGGATTTCTATGCGGCGCAGTTTACCATAATTTTCAATGCAAATGGCTGTCGACTCAATCACCAGCATGTGGTGGTCGCTTGTGCTTAACATAATCTGCCGCAGGTACAGTGGGCATCAGTATGAGCTGGCTCGACAGAACGCCGGCCGGAGCGATCAAAATCCCTCATGGGCCGCCCCTGATGCAATAAGCTGTCAGAAGCGAGGCTGGCATGTACTGCCGCCATTTTATGCAAGGGGCAGGGTGAATCTATGAAAGTCACCACCGATGCACGGCTTATAGCTACTAACATCCCCCCCTCCCCCCCCCCCCCCCTTGCACGAGACTTCGGCATTTGTTCCAGCCTCTATCAGGGGAGCCCAATGCGGAATTTTCACGGCTCCGGTCGGTATCTCGTCGAGCCAGCTCATATGGATGCCCACTGTACAACCCAAGTAAAAACAAAAGTATGTACCAAGCAACCACCCTTCAGGCATGTCCCCCGCCTCAAACTTGTCGGCAAGGTCGCAGTTCCGCCACATGAAACTGTCATGCGTGCTGCCAGGCCATTTCACCGTCAGCTGCGTTATTTCGTTTGAGGCATTGCAGATGGCCTGCACGTTAAGAGAGTCATATCCCTTCCGGTTCCTGTAGATGTGCTGGTCTTGTTTGGCAATCTTCAGGGCGATGTGGGTGCCGTCTATGCACCCCAGCACCTTGGGGAACCCATTGATCTCCAGGAAACCTGGAGGATACACATCAAACAAATGTGCAATATTCTGTCATGCCATGTGCATTCTGAACACTGTTTGCAGCATTGAAACAAGTGATGCAAACACTTTGCCCGAACCAGAGGGGACTTTATAAGTCAGTCATGCCTTGAATGAAGCAATATAACAATAATTTAAACGGGATTAACTGAACAAGGAAGAGAGGTGAGGGTGCCGAATGCAATTTTACTTTCCTTTTCTTTATGCTGGCCATCGTTCAGCCTACTGCTGCGCGGACATTCAATATGCAATCTATTACTCACAAAACATCGCAGCCAGCTGCCTACGCACTCGCATTCCGTACGCTATTCTAGTTCCTGATCGGCTCCCCCTGGTAACTCATAAATTAGCGGCGCGCACGGAAAGCGATCTTCGATGGCAGTGTTTCTGCCCCCCCCCCCCCCCCCCCTTATCAAATACGAGGGTCAGGCAAAGAGAACGGGCTAGAGTGCTTCTTGGTGCGCGTTTATGTCGCTAAGCAAACGGTGCACGACATCAGCGAAACACTTACCGCGTGCAGTGCGCAGTGCGGCCCGCGACGTCGCTGGAAACTTGATTCCGGATTTCGCGAGTTCGCACAGGGCACCGCTCACAGTATTAATAATCCTCGAGGCACTGGTCTGGCTCATGTTCGCAACATCTCCCACCAGAGACTGAAAACTGCCGCTCGCGTAAAAACGGAGCGCCAGCAGGACTTGGGCGTCTACGGGCAGCGAATGTGACCGAGCCGTCGGTCGGCGAAGCGCTGGCGCTAGGGCGTCGCAGAGCCGCTGCACAGCGGACCTCGGCAGCCGGTAGTATCGCTCAAGGTGGTGATCGGCTATTGCATCTAGTGTCCGACGGGTCCGGAAGACGCGCTGCTGCCGCAAACTTCGTCTTGCGTCGTTTTCCTGCTCAATCACGAGCGCGATGTAGGCAGCCATTTTGGTCGAATGGTCGCCAAGAAGTTCGTAAGTGCATTTGGACCCCTGTCGTAGGATTTTGTCTTAACTTACGAAAAAACTGAGAACATTTTGCTTCGGGAATACCGAAAAGTTCGTAACTTTTGCGTAAGTTATATTTACGAACTTTTTTGTCGTAAGATAGCTTTGAGAATCCGGCCTCAGTATCGTCAGCATACTGATATAGTTTGCAGCAAACTATTGAATTTGACATATCATTGACAAAGAAATTAAAAAGTAAGGGAGACAAGATAGATCCTTGTGGAGCTCCGGATTTCAAGGCGAGCTTTGAACTTCTTTTGGGACCTATGTGAACTTGTTGAGATCGTCCAGTTAAATAATTTTTAGTAGCTCCAGAAATTGACCTCGGAAGCCAATATGAGAAAGCTTTTGGAATAGAATGCTGTGGTTAACACTGTCGAATGCCTTTCAAACATCCACAAAAAGGGCACATACGACCTCATTTTTTTCGAACGAGTAATTGTGGACGCAGCCTAGAAAGCGACCAGCCAAGTCGGAGTCACATTGCAGAATTGTTTTAATTCTCGAGCAGAAAGAGAGAGAAAAGAGAAGAAAAGAGACGAACAAACCAACAGACAGACAGAGCACGCACAGCACAGCGCGCGCTCTTGGCGCGTGCCGTTCGGCAGCGGTGCAGGTGTAAGGGGGCCGCTGCCACAGATGCCAGCAAAGAAGGAACAAACAAAAGAGGGAAGAATTTAGATCGTACAACTAAACATAACATTTTCCCCTCCCTTCTTTTTTTTTTTTTAAGAGTGTAGGAACAAGACGATGACAAAAACATTATGCACGCATTTACAACACCAAAAATCAAGAGCAAGATAAGCACAGTTTAAATGAACCACACAAATAGTTCACTCTACGTCGAAAACACAAAAGGAAATAGTTCACTCATTTCATCGAGTACCAAGGTCTCCATACCGCACTGGTGGTCGACGGTTCCGCCCCGAGCGCCTTAGAAGCACTTGCCTAGGACACTGAGCAGTTGAAGTTCCCATTCCTGGAGGCGTGTCCGGGGCAGGTCTGCACTCAGGCGTCCGCGATCGAGGCAGCTGCTGCATGGCCGAACTTGACTCTTGAGGTTGCCAAGTATGATGCCTGTGGTGCGCGTCACCTGGAGTAGCAGTGTGGCTCGCGGGCTGGCCACCTTGAACGGCAGCCGGTGTCCCCTGCTGATCACTTCCTAGACTGGGATCGGAAGCAGCTGCGAGTTTAGAGGCATTCCACACTCTACCATCTCCCAGCCGGAATGTCCACCGACCGACCCGCTTCATGATGCGTAGTGGCGGCCCGAAGGCCGACTCCCCCTTGGCTACCTTTCCTGGTTTCTTCACTCTAACCCAGTCGCCTACCCTGAATCTGGGGGTCTTCGCCGCTCGACGCCGGTCGGTGTACTCCTTCGTGTACTGCTGCCTCTGCTGCACTCGATGTCGCAGCCGTTGCAGCTCCTCGATGGGATTTTGCAAGAACTGCGCCGACGACAGTCCGAGGATGTTAAGGCGGGTGCGAGGCTTCCGCCCATGCAGCAGGAGAGCAGGAGAAAGTCCAGTCGTGGCATGGGGCGTGCAGCGATATATCATCAGGTAGTCTACAAGGGATGACCGGATGCTGCTCCGCTCAAGGGTGGCGCACTGGAGAAAACCCTTCAGGGTACGGTTGAAACGTTCAACCTGCCCGTTGGACTGGGGGTAGTAGACAGAAACCAGCTGGTGCTTTATACCTCGCGCTTTAAGGAACGTCTCAAATTCGCCTGAAACGAACTGTGGCCCATTGTCGCTCACAACGCTGTCAGGGTACCCCTCTCTGGCAAAGATGGCGCGCAGAAAGTCCGTGATCCTCCCCGTGGTGACGTTTGGGCAGAACTGTACCTCGGGCCACTTGGAAAAGTAGTCCACCAGCGTGATGGCGTAGCGACACGCAGGCTCCGCTCGCTCAAAAGGGCCCACGACATCGATGCCCACCTTTGACCAAGGTCGCTCTGGCAAGGGCACTGGCTGGAGAGGGGTCGGTGACGTCTTGGCACTCTTGTCTGAGGTGTTACAGATTTTGCAGGCGCAGACTGCACTACGCACTTCTGCGTTCATGCGGGGCCGCCAATAGAGCTCACGAAGGCGTGCTTGCGTCTTGACAATGCCGTTGTGGCCCTCGTGTGCTCTGGCGACAAGAGCGCATCGCATAGTCGTGGGGATGACGAATTGCTCTCCGCGCAGCAGGAGACCGTCGTTGACGGAGAGCGCATCCTTCAGGTCGTAGAAGATGGCCGCATCAGCGGAGAGAGCGCTCACTGGAGGCCACTTAGAGGTCACATATCCCATGACAGTGGTGAGCAGAGCGTCATTCGCTGTCTCTTCTTGCAGCTGTTGCTTCGTGATGCACTCTTCGTCTAAAGCGACAAAGGAGATGATCTCGTCGTCGAACTCCATCCCCTCTTCTTCCTGCGACATCGGCAAGCGGGACAGGGCATCTGCTACCTGGTTTTCGGCACCTCGCTGGAACTCCACCGTGAAGTTGTACTTCAGTAGGCGATGTGACCAACGGGTGATCCGTAGCGGGCGACGTCCTGCTCCTCCGGTGGACAGCAAAGACACGAGTGCTTGATGGTCCGTGCGAAGGGTAAAGTGGCGGCCCCATAAGTATATGTGCCATTTTTCGCACGCCCACAAACACGCAAGCGCTTCTTTTTCCCCGACCGAGTATCGCCACTCTGTCGAAGTGAGCGTCCTTGAGGCGAATGCGACAGGGAAGACGCCGTCACCATGACGCTGCTGCAGCACAGCCCCAATGCCGTATGCCGACGCGTCTGTGGCCACGATGGTGGGCAACGTGGGGTCGAACATTCTTAGTGTCCTGGCAGATGACAGCAGCCTCTTGACTTGGTTGAAGCTTCTGTCCGCCTCGTTGTCCCAGACGAACGGAGTGTCTTTTCGCAGGAACCTTCGAAGAGGTTCGACCTCAGACGCTAACCGAGGCACGAAGCGAGAGTAATACTCCACCATCCCCAGAAAAGAACGGAGTTGGGTGATGTCCGTGGGGGTAGGGGCAGCGTTGAGTGCATCCACCTTCGTTTGTAGCGGAGCAATCCCTTGAGCGCTGACTTTATGACCCAAAAACGAAAATTCTGGCACATCGAATAGGCACTTGTTGTTGAGTTTCAGTCCAGCATCCGAGATACGCCGCAGCACCTCACGCAGACGGTGTGTGTGCTCCTCCTTGGTCCTGCCAAAAACAACAACGTCGTCAAGGTAGACCAACACACCTTCGCAGTCGTGAAGCATTTCCGACATCATCTGCTGGAAAGCTGCTGGCGCCGATGCCAGTCCGAAACATACTCTCTTGAACCGGTAGAGACCTTCGTGTGTAATAAATGCGGTTAGGTCCCGGCTATCTTTATGTAGCGGCACTTGGTGGTAAGCAGCCGCTAAGTCAAGCTTGGAAAAATGTTTGGCACCATGTAAAGCATGCAGAAGTTCTTCTATGTGCCGAAGAGGAAAGCTATCAATAACGACAGCTTTGTTGGCTTCCCGCAGGTCCACGCACATTCGAATTGAGCCGTCTTTCTTCTGCACCACCACAGTTGGTGATACCCATTCGGAGGAATTAATCCGCTCGATGACCCCAGCCGCTTCCAAGCGTCTGATTTCTTCTGATACTGACTGACGCGCTGCTAGAGGAATACGTCTCATTCGATGACGGACGGGAATGACAGAAGGTCGAATGTTTACCTTGTGGACAACGTCCTTGACACGGCCAAGACCCGGACTGAAGAGGTGCTCGAAGTTGCTCATAGAAGGCGGCAGGTTTGGCTTTGCTGGTTCAGGCACCACTGAAGCTGCAGCCTGTGGTGGAGGCGATGCTGAGGCCAGCTGATTTTGCACCCTTGCCGACCACTCATTTCTCAATGCACTTGACGCTTCGTCCTGTGGGGCCGGTGTCAACCTCTCGTTCTCCTCTCTCGGCGGGTCGCCAGAACCCTCTGTATCAGTATAGAAGCACGACCGAGTGGCGCCTCTTATCTGGATGTCGAGGGCTACAACAGCGTCCATGCCGAGTAAAGAGGTACCACGGTCAGCAATGTAAAAAAGTACTGTTGCCGCACGCTCCCTGAACATTACCGGTGCCTCGAATGCTCCCAGAATGGTGATGGGTTGCTGAGAAAGGTTCAGGAGCTTCACAGGTGGTGGTACAACTGTCGCCTTGCTCGCGAAATACCGGACGAACATGGCACTATCCACGATGGAGACGGCTGACCCCGTGTCAAGAAGAAACTGCAGCGTCGAGTCAAATACCTGGATGTTTAAGTACAGCTTGCTTTGAGAAGGTCCGGAAATGTGGGACACCTCCCACTGCTCGTCGCCGTCATCGTAGTAGTCGTCGACGATCTGCTCAACTTGATCACGCAGGCGGCGCAGCAGGGATCGGCGAACACTTCTACAAGCGCGTGAAAAATGTCCCCGACGACCGCAGTTGTCGCAGTGCTGACCTCTCGCTGGGCAGACGTCATAGCCCCTGCAGTGTTCCTGACCGTAACCGCAGTTGGGACATGTTCTTCCGTAGCCGTAGTTACGCCTTGGAGATGGTTGCCGCCGCGGTGATTCGAAACGCACCGAACGCCGAAACGCCGATCGTCCAGGGCTCTGTTGACGACTGCCACGGTCGAAACCACCATAGCCGCTACGGCCGCAGGTTACGCAGCTCTGCTGGCTAGGCGAGCGCGAAGCGCGTGCGTTCACTGACCGGGCTGAAGCAGCTGAAGAACGCGCCGTCGGAGATCGCACAGGTGACTCACGGCGCGAGCGCCGCGGCTCGTGCAAAGATGACATCATCGGCTGAGGTTGACTCGTTGCGCGCCCTGTGACGTGGGAGGTGGTCACGTGCTCCTCCGACGCCATCGACAGCGCAGCTGGCGCAGTTGCCGATGCCCATTCTCGAACTTCCCGGCGTGAGCGTTCCAAATTAAAGACAGTCTGTAAGGCCACGCTGAACGGCAGCGCGGCGTCAAGTACCAGGCGTTCTTGAATCTCTGCGGAAGCAGCACCCACCATGAACCGTCGGCGGATGACGGCCTCGGTGTCGGCACCGAAGTTCGCCGGCACGGCCAATGCTCGGAGTGCTGAGAGAAAGTCGCGCAGAGATTCTCCTTCTTGCTGCTTTCTCATGTGAAACCGGAGTTGTTGCAGGGTCTCGTTGACCGGCTGCGAAAATTCAGCCTCGAGAACCGTGAGGGTCTCTCTATACACGTCGCGAGACGCTTGCCGGGCTTGCTGAGCGTCTCCCGCCGGTGACGTTGCTGGCGCCGGTCCAACGGGAGCTGGTAGAGAGTCATAGATGCGCTGGCCTTCGACCCCCAGGCAGTTGAGCAGCTTTGCTTGGCGTCGTTCGGCGGAATATTCCTGAGCGCCAGTAGCCAATATGTATCGCTCGAACATTCGTAGCCACGATTTCCACGGTATCGGTGGCGTACCGGCCTTGTCCAGGAAGTTTGGTGGTGGCCGGTCACAGTCAGCCATGCTTGCGGCTAAGATGTCGGCTCAGGAATCGAGGAGGACGTTCGAAATGGAACGCACGGCCATTGACAACCAGCAACCGAGGTTCTCTGGTGAGCCCGGAATTCGTCGGAAGCAGGAGTCGTCGCGACGCCAGGCACCCCCGCCGACGTGAGCTTATGCCGAACGACGCACGTTTCCTCTGGGAGTGAGAGTGCCCAGGTTCAGCACCCTCGTCGCCAAAACTGTGGAGGCAGCCTAGAAAGCGACCAGCCAAGTCGGAGTCACATTGCAGAACTGTTTTAATTCTCGAGCAGAAAGAGAGAGAAAAGAGAAGAAAAGAGACGAACAAACCAACAGACAGACAGAGCACGCACAGCACAGCGCGCGCTCTTGGCGCGTGCCGTTCGGCAGCGGTGCAGGTGTAAGGGGGCCGCTGCCACAGATGCCAGCAAAGAAGGAACAAACAAAAGAGGGAAGAATTTAGATCGTACAACTAAACATAACAGTAATGTAAATCATCTGCAAAATCTTCAAGTAATGGCTGTGTAACCCGTCCGTTGACAAAACCATTTTGATTATTGTGTATGATTTTGAACTTTTCAAGATACTGACTCATTACTTGGAGTAAATGCTTCTCTTAAATTTGGCTTATACAAGACGAAATCGAGATGGGACGATAATTTTCGACCTTACGACGATTTTCTCCTTTATGAAGAGGCTTAACTTTTGCATTTTTCAGGTTATTAGGGCTTTTTCTTTGTGCAATGAAACCATTTAACATATGGAGAAGGACATGTTTTATTGCATAAAAATTGCGGATGAGGTCATTTGCTCTGATATTATCAACCCCAGGAGATTTTCTTGGTTTAAAACTGAACAGCAGACTTTTCAGATCATATTCTGATATCTCAGGAAGGAAAGCTGACGCCATGTTCGAATCCCTTGAGTGAATTAAATAGGAAACATCATTCTGCGGACCGCCCGAAAACTGTGCAAAAATTGCGTTAAATTTGTCAACAACTGAGCATGTAATTGGGCCAAATGCTTTTTCAGGCTCCTCATCTACTGAATTTGAAGGCTTCTTTCCACGGAGTTGGTTGAGTAGAGACCAAGTTTTTGCTGCATTTGATCTTGCACGATAAAATTCATTTTGAAAGTGTCTCCTTTTGGTGGCCCGGAGGAGCGCATTTGTACGATTACGTGCGCAACGATATTCTGCTTTCAGTTGTGCATTTTGGGGAGAACGCCTGCATTTTCTCCACAAAGTATCCTTATCCTGAATGGCTCTTAGAATATCTGCATTCAACCAAGCATACTCCTCACGGCGTTGTCAGATTGTAGCAACTTTTTTGGAATCTTCAATAAAAGAATTCCAACTTAAATGGAAATTAGAGTAGACTTCGTCGTAGTTTACGTTCCGTAACAAATCTTGCTACTGGTAAGCAGAAACCAGTTTGTCAATTTTTTTTTTTATCTACAATCTCGACCTGCTTTATTTTAGGACTTGTTTGTTTGATTGTCGCCTCAAAAATTACTTGACACGCTGTGAAATAATGATCCGCCAGTTTTTGCAATATTACTGCTGACGTAAAAATACAAGATGACGCACGCAAATGAATATGATCTATGCATGATGATACTAATTTATCTGTCATGTATTCTTCCCGTGTTGGTAAGTTAATGACGTTCACGAATCCTACGTTGGATAGGACATTGAGATAGTCGCAGACAATTGATCTTGATGTTTTCAAAGAATCGATATTAAAATCCCCTACAAGGCAAATCTTTTCTACTGATGATAGTCCCGCTAGTACTGTTTTTAGCTCGTTTACGAAAAGAGTCGGATTTCTGGAAGGGGGCCTGTAAAACGCCAACAGAGACCGGGAGGAGTTTTTGTTACTCAAGTTCAGAGAAGGTGACTCTGAATGAACAAAATAAATATTGGTAACCTCACTAAGCCAAACTTCCCTAACTAGTATTCCTATTCCACCACCCCTGGCGCCTTGTCGCGTGCGAAAGAAACTTTTGTACCCTGAAAGAAAAAATGTATCACACAGGTTATCATCGACGTTAATTCCAGTTAAAACCAAGACATCAAAATCTGTGCAACTATTTTTAACGAGTGCTGAAAACTGATCCCAGAATTTTTTTAGACTTCTGATATTTACATGCAATAAGGTAATCGTCTCACCAGAATGAGCACATAACACTTCACGAAAACATGACAAGTGGGACATTTAAAAAACCGTTCTTCCATCACTCTAAACCATCTTGTCAATGTCACTTACGCTATTGACGCAAATGACCGGAGATCCTTCCTTCTTCTTTTGCGAAAATCTTTGCCTTTTTTACCCACACGAACTGATATTGCTTCTCCTTGCCTCTAGATCTAGCCTTCCAAAAAAGTTCCGTGTTGATGCGAGTGAGGTTTCCGTTTAAATATAGAATAGGGAAGCCGGGCAGAGATCTCAGCTTGCCCCGCGATACCATCCAGGTCTCTTTGTTAGTAACGGAATTAAACCTTACAATCACTGGAGGAGCTAAATTTGAATCCTTCTTCGGAGGCAGGCGATGAACCGTAATTATGTCAGAGGGTTGAAATCCTCGTATTGTTGAAAAAGAGCTATTATTTCTCTGGCGTATGCTTCCGATGCTTCCGAATAATAATAATAATAATAAAAATAATAATAATAATATTATTATTAATATTATTATTATTATTAGTGGGTGCGTGCGTAGAGCCGCACTCCCGAGCGGCTCTACGCACGCTCGGGAGTGCGTGCGCATCACTAAAGAGCTTATTAACCCCTGCACATTTCTTATACTCTACAGTGCATTGTGTCGACCACAGCTCGAATACGTTTCTGTTGTATGGAATGGAATTTGTGCCACAAAATCCTCGAAAATAGAACGGGTCCAGAACAAGTGTCTTTCCATCTATAGACATCGTTGCTCAGCGCGCATTGCGCCCACCACTACTGATGTCCCTGTCCCTGTTCAGCGTAGCGTGGCACTACCAACCCTGCCTCGTAGGAGAAAACTTGCCGATATCTTATTTTTATACAAACTTGTCCACGCCGTCACTGATTGCAGGGTATTGACGTCAAGAGTACTCTTAAAAATTCCTCTAAAAACAACAAGGCAAAATGCGTCCTTCTGCAACAGGCGTCTACTCAACCTCCACGATTCTGTGTCCAGACTTGGGCATACTTATAATTCTTCTTTTTCTAAAACACTCGACATATTTAACAATAACACGCTGCAGTTTGTAAAAACGTTAAAGGCCATCACTTAAATTTGAACTGTATGCACTAACTTGCGGCGTACACACCTAAATTCCCCACTTGGGATGCATTTTTTTTTCTTTCTTTCTAGCAATTGATGGTGGCGGTAGTACCATTAAGCTTATCGTGTGTTGTGGCTTTGTGTTTATTTCTTATAATTTTAAGTGTATTTTTTTAGGGCTTGTCCGTTGTGTGTGTTGTCTGTACTATTGCTTTATGCCCTGTTATACCTTACATGTCAACACAGTGCACCTGTACCAAGAACGCAAGGTTGTTTCTGGGCACGAATAAAAACATTGATTGATTGATTGATTATTAATATTATTATTATTCGGAAGTATCGGAAGCATACGCTAGAGAAATAATGGTTCTTTTTCAACAATACGAGGATTTCAGTTTCTTAAAAAAATGACTAAATATTAAGCAACATCCTTTCATGGTAATACATGTGAATATACGAAGCATAAGAAAATATTGGGACCTCTTTAATGTTTTGACTAAGGATGTCATGGTAATTACGAACGTTTTTGTACTAACCGAAACTAATATATCTGAGAACTGGTGGAGCCAATTCAAACTGGAGGGCTTTAACTCCTTCTGGTTCTCGCGATTTAAAACGGGGGGTGGGGGTATTGTGGTTTTTGTGGAAGGCACGTGGCTGGTCACTAAGCGAGATTCATTTATTACTCACGCGGAAACTATCGCCCTCAAAATTTAAAATGTTTGCTTTGAAGTTTTTTTGTTGGCCTGTTATAGGCCTCCCTCCCAAAGTGTGAGGGGCCTTTCTGGATGAATTAAAGGAAATGCTGCCAGAGGCGCATAACGTACGTGGGACAGTTTTGTTTGGTGGGAGATCTCAACATAGACACAGCGAAGCAGGATAGATCTGAGGTATGTGTATCTCAATATACTGGCTAATGAAGGTGTGGAATTGAATATTGAATTGAATATACTTTATTCAGACAAACGTCTTAGAGGATAGGGCAAAAGGCGACTATGGTCGCCTGACAAGGGCCCGTCCCCCTTTGCAGTCCAGCAGCAAAATGTACAGAAAAAAAACGAATCAAAACAATTATATCATTACACAAGGTCACAGTGACATATACAAATTGTGATATAATAAAACAGAAACACATAAAAATACCAACACAGATTACATTAGAAGGAGAAGAAAACTTTTTATGGTGGTTTTAAATGTGTGTATTGTATTAGAGCTATTAATCATGAACAGTATTTCAGGATGGTTATTTAATAATTGTGCGATCTGGTTAAGTATTTTCTGACTACCCTAATTTGTGCGTATTCTCGACTGTAGGCAGTGCGTATGGCGGAAGGTCATTAATGCTGCTACGAGAGAAGAAATTTTAGTAGATAAATTAGTGTCGTCATCAATTGACCATATTTGTGCCAGAGCTCGAAATGCTGTGGTCATGTCGTCAGTTATCTCACAAAAACTTGCCGATCACTATTTTATTGCATGTCAGTTTTTCGACGATTGCGCAGACGAGGATAGATAGCGATAACAAACATAAAATGCAAATCATTGACAATAATCTACTTGACCGACTCATTTCGTCCTTTGACTGGAGGTCATTCCGCGAGTCAGTTTCTGAATTCAATGTTCACGCAAAGTTCGTAGAGCGTATCAGATCCTTTAACGACTTATCCAGACGTATTGTGACAATAAAAAAACGGAGACCCGAGTGTGTCTGGTTAAATGAGGGCGTCCTCGCCGCCATTAAAGAAAAAGACGTTCGATGGGCTCGTAGTCGCCGATCACCGGCGGATGTC